AGCTCGACTGTAAGTACAATGTCCCGAGAACAACAGCCATTCTGCGCGATAATCTGTTTTACGTCATCCTAAGAAATCTCTTGCTTGCGGGCGTGAAGAAATGAAATGTCATCATTTTATTACTCAACCACTCCATGCGGCCCCGGATCAAGCAAATCGAGTTTTTTTTAAGTGGCTGACTGCATATTTCAACTGTAAGCATTTTTTTACATACACGCGCAGCTACAAGGATGTCTCCTCGGGATTTCGCCCAGCGGGGGCAATGAATTGTGCATGGGATTTTAACCATTCAGAAACGGAAAAACATTTTGAATAAGGTAGGTCTTTTTATTAACCAGCTTCGTTAAGAAAAGAAGGGTTGAAGTTAATATTTGATAACTGGTTTCTTTCATCAAGGAAAAACTTGTCACTTTACATAAGATTATTAACGCACCAGTAACGAGGGTTATAGCCTTCTGTGCTTTAAATTTACACATGATAAGAAAGAATGCCAGTACCAGTCTTCGCAAGTTTTCGCCCTTTTTAAGACCAGGTTGACTGAGTTGTAGACTTATAAGTACATGTGTTATAGAGACGCAGACTAACTTCAAGTCAAATGTATTTAAATATATTGAAGCGCGCATCGTACACTTACAGTAACCCGGTGGGTACTTGGGTTAATTTTCAGATTGTGCCGCTGGCCTCTCAGAGCCCCTACCCCATTATAGTCTATTCTGTGGCCAATTATAGACCCCATCTTAGTCACTTTTAGGCAAACGTAATTTTGGCAATCCCAGCTTAGTCACTCTCTATTTATGTATCAATCCTTCTTGAAAATGGGTCATCCTAAAATGAATTGACCGAGTTTTAAATTGAATGAAGAACTCTTTACTTACAAACATTCTGGTACGTTTTCTAACCGTAAATATGAAGAACTTTCTCAGCTCCAAAATCCCAAAATGTGCGACCCCATTCTAGTAAACTTATTAAAAATGCCATCCCATTATAGTCAATCCAGAAGTGAAAATGCAACCCCATCCAGCGGCACATCCCCATTAGCCCGTTATAAGGAAGAATTCTCCTCCGGGACACTTAAGCCACATTAAAGGTTATAAAAAAATTTATTAACACAAAACGCAGTAACAGGAGATAAAAGCTGACTTCTGCATATACTTCAAGTCAGTATTAACTTCATATTTTTATTGTTTATTGATGTTCCTTTTTTATTTCAGTATCGTTTTAGGCTAACGTGCAGTCGACGAAAATCAATAGCAGTGTTGATAAGGAACTTATTTTGAATTAAAAGTAGATGTTTAGAAACGTGTTTAACTTTGGTTTAAATGAGGAAACAAGGATAAAGACTTTTGAGTAGCGATATAATTAACATTTCCAAGTTTGAATAGCGGTGGCTGAATAAGCTGATCTACCTGATTTTTACTATAAGGACGCGTTGCGCATGTAATTCTAGTACGTATACTAAAACCATCATAGTTTTGTTGTTTCTGTTTCTATATATCATGGCTTGAATGCTATGAGCTACTCGGTTGAAAATCGAATGAATGCTTGAGACAAACCATTAGGTTGCACATAACCGTAAGTGGCTCCGTAAAGCCAGTTTGTGTATGATAAGTAAACGTCGTAATTATGTAGAACTATAAGGTAAAAATAAAATCTCCTCTAGGGAGCATTCAAGTGATCGAACGTTATATGAATTACAGAGATCTCTCCCCTATAATGTGGACCTCTCTTAAATAGATAATATCAGACAAGCTAGTACGCTAGACCTTTTTTAAACCTCTTTTTCAAAACGCACCTCTTTAAGCAAAGTATTTGTACTTAAATATTGGCAATAAATTTTTACGTGATTGTATTTTGTGCTTTCCGTGTTTTTTTGTTTATTTCCCTTACGTATTTAATGCTGTTTGTAAGGCGCCATTGGGCGTTTGGTTTTTGGCACTATCGATATTATTATATTTATCACGATCAAAAGTATGTTGAGCACGATAGTCCGGATAAACGTAGTCCTGAAGATATGACTGTTGTTCACAGTGACTGACGTTTCAATGCGATAGTCATCTTCAGAGTCAAAGTAAGTCGTATCGCGTCAGTTAATGGTAGTGAACTCTGGCTTTTGACCCTGTTGGTCAATTAAGCCGCGACGGTATTGATTGTCTGTAGGTTAAGTCGTGATGTTATTGGCTATGAAGAGAAGAGAGAGCCTACGGACGAGATTGCTGAGACAGCCTCTTCAATAGTAACTCCAATCGTCGCCACATTTGAAACGATAAGACTCTGGGACGAGGTCACTGTTGAAATCGAGACCTCGGCCTAGGGGCACATGACTGAGCATCTCTTAATGGTAAGTGCGCGTGCGGAATGAACAACTCATGCGCAAATCCTTGTTTTGGTTGTAGAGCGGTTTTCACTTGACTGTCGAAATTGGGATTGGTTTTGGTTTTGGTTTTGGTTTTACTACGCGCTTTGGTTGGCTAGTGTATTTACTTTGGTTTTGGTTTTACGACAGTCAAGTGAAAACCGCTCTAACTGTGACGCGAATGACTATGAATGGTGTGAAGACAGCGGTCTCCTCACTGACAAAATAAAGCTTCCAGTGACACAGCTCGGGCATGGTGATGCAGGGAAAGACAACCAAGGATATCACACTCTTGGAAAACTGAATTGTTAAGGCACAGGATAAAAGCTAAGTTGTTTTAATCAATGAAAATAAATCACGCAGTTGTCAACTTCATTTATAAGAGCTTCGTTTGTTTAATTCACTTTTATGGACGTTAAATTCTATAAGGCTTTCATAGTACCAAACTTTAGAAATTGTTCGGCGGTTTGGCACTTCTGTAGGGCTCGAAATAAAGACAAGCTGGGAAAACTTAACAGAAGCGCGCTCAAGATCGTTGCTAACGAGAACGCTCTGCACTACAAGGATATTTAAATGAGATAAACTGTGAGGATTTATATAGCACCACATGCCGAGATATGTACATGTTAAGCATAGTTTTAAGGCAATCCATATTGACACGATGCCAAAATGTCTAGGTGGAATGTATCAAATGATGAATACAACAAACGATCTTCTACCGGTTTAAACGACATGCTGCCTGTTGCAGTTAATGGGAAAAACATATTTACTGGCCTAAAAAAACTTCTACGTTTGCGTGGTCACGCTCATAAAGACGCGCTGCTAAAGGTGAGATATTTGGAAATAAAAGAATAAACAAAAGTTCGCATGGCCTTTGCTTTTTTGGAAGGCAGTAATATCGCTACAAAGGAAAGACTGCGCAGGCTTTGACCAATGAGAGCGATTCAGTTCACGCTCCACCTATGCTTCTAGCTCGACTGTAAGTACAATGTCCCGAGAACAACAGCCATTCTGCGCGATAATCTGTTTTACGTCATCCTAAGAAATCTCTTGCTTGCGGGCGTGAAGAAATGAAATGTCATCATTTTATTACTCAACCACTCCATGCGGCCCCGGATCAAGCAAATCGAGTTTTTTTTAAGTGGCTGACTGCATATTTCAACTGTAAGCATTTTTTTACATACACGCGCAGCTACAAGGATGTCTCCTCGGGATTTCGCCCAGCGGGGGCAATGAATTGTGCATGGGATTTTAACCATTCAGAAACGGAAAAACATTTTGAATGGATAATAATAATAATATTTATTTAATAATATTTGCGTTTCCGCAGTACTAGTAGTAATATTTTCGCGTTAATTGAAATAGTGAGTTTCTTGTTGTCAAAATTCCTTCCCACCCAAACAAAATTATTTTGACAATAAGCGCGGACAAGTCTAAAATGTTTGCTTTAGAACACTTAGAACGTTGTAAGTATACTTTCAAGACATTACAGTGCGAGCGGGAAAACGGTGAACACCTGAAATATGCCAGGAATGTTATTTCTGTCCAATCACACGTCCGAAATCCACTCACCAAACGGCAGAGTGTTAACTGTTGTCTAATTTTCGTTGAAAACGTACACAGTTCGCAGCGTTTAGGCCTTCCGTCTACACTAATACGCTGAGTGAAAACGAAAACGAATCGAGTTCAGCAAAAACGCTCTTGAAAGCGGATCAAAACAAAAAACGCACGCATATCGTATTAGTGTGGACAGCCGAAAAAGCATCAAAATGAAAACGGTGACCGAGAATTTCGCCAAGAGTTTCGTGGGCGCGTGTGTTTGTAACATGCGCCTAGAGTTCAACTTACGACAGAACGTGCAGTTCTATCGTTTTCGAACGTTTTAGAGTGGACAGTCGAAAACGCATCAATGCAGTAGTGTGGACGCGAATCGATCGATGCGTTTTCAATGACAACGAAAACGGGATCAATTTTAGGTTTCTGAGAAACTGCCCACCTACCCCTTCCCTAAGCCAAAATCTTGCCCAAAGTGAGGAGCAAGTGTTAATGTTTATTTTAGGGGAGGAGTAGGTGGGCATTCTCCCACAACACGTATCAGTGTGGACAGGGCCTACAAGACCTACAAGCTTTGAAGAGTCAAAATGACAACATAAATTTTTCGTTTGACCGCTGTTGGCCCTCTTCTACCCCTTTCTAGCGCTAATCCAGAACACCAAGCCTTTTGAGCGAGCTACCCGTTAGCGCCTGTCTATCCCGACACTCAGTCGCACTACTCTCACGTAACAGCTAACGTCCGACTCGTTTGCTGGTCATTATACTGTCTGCATATCTAGAACGCCAGCTAGCACCTGTACTACATAACGCTACCTGGTATGTAGAACGCAAGCTCGTGCCTTTCTAGTGGCCAGCTGCTGCCTGTTTAGAATTTTATTTGCGACTTCCAAGATTCCATGATGCAATTTGTTTTCCCATAAAAAAAAATAAAAAAAAAAACTGTATAAGTCTTGTTTGCAGTTTCTCTCGGACTAACAACAGGCCACTGAGAAATTGAAAACAAAACTTGTGCAAACTCTTGAGGGAAAAACTAATTGCACTATGGGAACGTGAAAGCAGAGATCACTAGAACTCTGAAAAGAATGAAGACTTTTCAAGTTGGTCGCTGCTGAGGTTGGATGTTTCGTGCTTTGAAATAATCTGTCAGCTGTTTGGGTACCTCGGCCAATACTTCTTTAGCAAGTGCAGCAGGAGAGGACTAAAATAACAAATAAATGAACAAACTTAAAATTTGCTGTTGGGCATTACGCACAATGTTGCGTGCTATGTTTTATCTTATGTCGGGAGAACGTAGTTGGCAATGTTGTTGGAACGTTATGTTGTTGAGATATTGCGTGCAATATAAGAAACAACCGCGGTGCGGGTGTGATGTTGCGTGAAATATTGTGAGAATGTTTGGTTATTATTGCGTGCAATGTACAGAGTACTGTTACGAGCCATATTGTGCGCAACGTTGCATCAATACTGCGTGCAAAGTCACAGGTTATTTTACCTGCAAAATTGCAAGTAATCCTTCATGTTTGGCGCAATGCTGCATGCAAGGTAGAAAATTATGCTTCCTGTAATGCTATGCGCAATATTTCGGGCAAGGTTGCAAGTGATGATACCTGCTTACGTAGAATATTACGTGCAAGGTTGCAAATATTACTACCGGTAAAGTTATGGGCAATATTGCGAGCAATGTTGCAGGTTATGTCACTTGTAATACTACTAGCAATATTATATTAAGGTTGCATGTCATAATAAGTATAATGTGACGCACAAGGAGGCATGCGAGGTTGCAAGTAGTGCTTGCTTACTCTGTAATATTATGCACAAGGTTACGTGCAAAGTAATCAGTTGCAAGTGATGCTACCGGTAAGGTAATGAGCAATATTTAACAAAAATGTAACGCGTAATATTGCTTGCGAGGTTGCAACTGATAGATTGCGTGCAAGGTTACAAGTCATGTTACCTGTAACGTTAGTTGGTAATATATTACGTGGGATATTGCCTGCAAGGTTGCAAGTATTTCTACTTGTAAAGTTATACACAATTTTACGAGCAAGGTTGCAAGTAATGTTACTTGTGATACTACTTGCAATATCGGGTGCAAGGTTGCAAGTGATGTTACTTGTAATGGTATGCGCAAGATGGCGTTGTGCGACCTCACCCTGTAATGTTATGCACAAGATTGCGTGCAAACTTGTAAGGGATACTAACAGTTATGTAATGCACAATATTGCTTGCGAGGTTGTAAGTGGTGCCACCTATAATTTTACGCGTCATATCGCGTGCAAAGTTGCAAGAGTAACTATGTGTGATTGTATGTGCAAGTATTGCTATCAAGGTTGCAACTACTGCTACATGTTTTTTAAGGTTGAGTGCAATATTGCCTACAAGGTTGCAAGTGATGCCACCTCTAAAGTCACAAAAGCAAAAACAAGACATATATTACTCATAAAAACAACTGTAGCGAGTTCCTTTCAAAAAGACTCGTGACTATAGTTCACTTACAGATATATTTGTTATGAAAACAGAGAGTTGCTTTCGCTGACGAACAAGTTTCCTGGATGTCGCAAATTAAAATGTGAAAATCTTCAGTACGAATCTCAACCATATCCAAGCCCTCTTACCAAAATCTGAGTATTTCAACTTTATGTGGGCTTGGAAACTCTTTGCCTTTGTTTCGATCGACTGTTAAAGAATAAATAAGCAAATTTTAACTGTCAGTTTGAGACAAAATGTTTTCTTTCAACCAAATTGATGAAGGCGTGTTGGTAAACAACAACAACAAAAAATTGTTTTCTGTGGCGCGCGTTAAGAGAAATTTGCAATTTTTTATTGTGTTGTAAAAAATTGATTAATCACTCAAAAATCGGCGTGCACCTATAACTCGATATACGCTCGCTAGGCATGAACTAATTCTCAATTTTTGCATGGCAATTATATTACACTTTCATAGCAGGGATGATATTTCTTACATTTTTGAAATTCCTGAACGGTACAAATTGAACAATGTCCCTCTGTGCGGATCTTCCACCAGCCATCAACCTGACGATCGTAAAGAGAAGAGTTGGTTGTTTACCTCTTACAAAAGTAAATGGAACATGACTTTTCGGGTCGTTCCAAGGGAAAATTTTCGAGAGCAACGGAATATCTGAAAAGGTAGCCCTTTTTTCCGCACAGAATTACCAAACGGAAATTCGTGCCTTCGCGGCCGTTTTTTGGTAAATGGAAATGATCTGTGCAAACGGTAAACGCGATTCCGGACTGAAATCTACCCGTCCTGATTTTTGCTTACCATTTGCCCAAACCGTGAAGCAACCATTTTCATCCACCGTAATTAGACTGTTATCATCCACTGTAATCAAACCCTTTCAAAGACTGATATGTTGATCTCGAAAGACCCTTGAAGTTTTTTGAGTGCCAGAGGTATGTTTTGCGCATGCTAGCGATCTACAGTTCTGCAGAAACCATCTTTGATTTTGGATATAGCAGACAGTACAAAGCGCGATCAGTAGGGTGGCTATTGACCATTTTGGGGTCGCGCTGAAGACTGGATCTGACTGTTGGACTGGTTGGGGAACGCTGTCCGTTCTTTTAGCGGAGCTCCACAAGAAATTTTGGTAGTCACGTGACCATACGTCACACGCAGAACCTGAAAATGGACAACAGGGAGAGAGAAGGGAACTGCCCCTCCCACACTCCCCCCCCTCCCTCTGACACCTGTGACTTGCACACCACAATGTAAGCGAATTCTAGAACCACCCTTCACGACTTCGAGGCTACCAGGAGAAAGTAAACTTACTCATTGCCGCTTTATTTTACAGAAACTACACAAAAGCCTGAGGTAACCCTGCTAAGGACAAAAAGGTCCACCACATAGGAGAAATAATATTCCACATTTATTATTCCACTATTATGTCATTTTACCATATAAGGTCAAGAGAACGCACAAAATACTTGGCCGTAATACACTGTAGTGTCCTGGTTTAACCGGTTTACAACAGGGCAAATACCGGCGTATGCAAAAGGAGCAACTATGCCTGAACTGGGCAAACCGGCGGGCGAAAATAAAATAGAAATTAGAAGCCAAAAGAACATTTTTTGCAGTAGAATAATTAACCTCTCATTCAATGGTTTCGCATATTATACGCGCGAACATTTTGCTCATTGTTAACGTCATTCTCACAGACGGAATCAGGATGTTTCTGATAACAATTTTTTTTGTAGTGGAATAATAAACCTCTTATTCGATGGTTTAGTATAAAATACGAGCGGACATTTTGCTCATTGCTCGTATTTTTCCCCGCCCCTGCGGGGCTCGGAAAAATACAACGCAACTCGCAAAATATCCCACGTATTATATACTAAACCATCCAATAAGGTGTATTTATCTAACGGGTTTGGATCCTGTTTGGGGGGAGGGGTTACCCATTGCTTGTGCACTGCAGCTGAGGAAGACTTGTGTTGGTGGCTAAAACTTTGACATCTTGAACGGTAGGAAGCGGCGTGCCAAAGGAAGATGTCAGGAAGGGCGCATATTTAACCATCTCTCTTTACTGTCACCCTAGAGCTATCCCTTCGAACCTCATATAACGAATTTGTTCACAGTCTTCCTCCTATTCTGCATCAATTTTGTAATACGAAGATACAACGTCAGAAAGCGCAATATTATTACTATTGTTGATATTATAAGTTACAGTTTTGCTGAAGTTTCCTTACAATGCGTCATCGCTGTCAAGTTCCTCCATCATGGCAAAATCAGCACCTCCAACTCCAACAATAATGATTGACATGGGAAGCCCTGATGCTGCTACAACAGCCTGCTTGGTTTGATCCATGTCTGTGATTACACCATCAGTCAGTATTAGAAGTATGAAGTAGTTCTATCAAAAAAAATAAAATGAAATAATAATAATAATAATAATAATAATAATAATAATAATAATAATAATAATAATAATAATAATAATAATAAACTGTTACATCTAAAGTGGACAAATACTTACTCGGAACATAAAATCTATTTACTATTTTCACATAGACCATGATGCACCTTGTTTTCGACCCTACATTTTGCATTGCCATTGTTTTCAGTTTCTCTTGGGTATTACAGTCGTCCCAAGTGAAATCGAAGACAACAATTATGCAAAATTTGGGGGAGGGGGGAGGGGGGTAAGCAAGGTGCATTATGGCCTATGCGAAATTGGTGAATTTACTGTTAAATTTACGGACGTGTTGGCACTAGGCACTAAGTTACGTCTCAGGGGCTCGGACGTCCCTTTTGTTTTCTTTTGTGTTTTTAACCATGTGCTTAAAGACTTCGTGTTAATGTCGTTGATTTTCTACAATAAATTGTTAGCAACGGTATTAGCAGATCCTCCCGTCATTGAATCCACGTTTCAGCAGTTTACACAGAGTCATCTGCCCAGGAAATAAAACAAGTCTAAGAAAATTAACCATTAGTCTCTGATATAAATATCTCGCTAGTACAGAACACTGTGTGACCACATTGACCTCTGTTGACAAGCCCAGGTATGGAGGCTAGTTTGAGGCATTAACCTTTGACCCTTAAACATGTGACAATATATTCTCCTCACTTTTCTCTTCACATGGAACTAATAACATTATCTGCATTATCGAGAAAGTTTATCTTTGGTGACGTTCCATTCATGTACGATTCTTTTTTAAAAAAATGTACTTAGCTAATGTATTAAGCAAAAAAAGTACTTAATGAGGACAATAGTTTTAGTAAAGTCTCGAACTAGAGACTCGACTGTCATTTCTTCTTCGTTCTCCCGGTCACACGAAGGTCTAACCGTTTGAAAGGCAAATGACAGTACTTTCATTTCTAAGATATTTAAGACTGGGTGTTGTTCACTCTCTGTTGGCCAGCACTGTGCCGACAAAGCTCACCCTGTCATAGTTTTATATCAAATAATTCACATGAATCATATCAATCACTCTGATATGCCGGACCAAAGTCCTGACAAAAAACCATGCATGTTACTTACAGTGGCAGTGGGGACTTGAGCAGCTTGTTGTGCAAAGTGTGCAACATGGTTGATGATAGGCGAGATGTTAGTTGGGCCATAAAGCTGTACACTTTGTATGCAGGTCTGATAAGCCTGAACTAAACCAGGGAGACCTAGTAGGAAAAGTCACACATTTACAGGAAATGATCTAAAAGACGCCTGGGGCGTCCTTTTAATTTTAGGAGCCCAAGCGGGGACGTTTATAGTCGATATTGTTCTTTTTTAAAAGCTCAAATCGAATGTCAATATCCTTTACTTTGTACTTGAATTGCACAAGATGAAATGCGCAAACCCTTGTTACTCAAGCAAGAAACTGAATAAATTGAATTATTTTGGTCTATTTCGCAGTATTCAGGAACCAAAGAAATGCGAGCGTCTATTAGACTGAGGCATCCATTCTAAGCGTAAGGGACGGATTCTCATTAGCCTGCGAATACAGCCGTTTCTCCTTGCTCCTCGGCGCTAGAGACGTTTCGCCAGGAGCAACGTCTGCGCTCCAGCAACATAAATTCCATACTCATGCATACTGATGACGTAAAATCTGTCCAGAATTTTTGTCAGGATCTCTCATTGGTCGACATAATAATTACATTGTTGTACCTATTGTTTACGAATGACAGACAACAGACAGACGGCCACAAAGGTCAAAGGCAAACTGGGTCGTCGTAAACGTGAAGAATCTACGTTCTACAAAACAGTCTTAGAAAAAGCATCTGAGTTTTGCTGGAGCTCGTTCGCAGTAGAACGCAAAACTTTACCATGATCGACCAGGAGAAACATGATTATCAACAAATTTACATTTGGATCCCCATGACTACCGGACTACCGGATTTGTTATGTAAACATTGATTTACGTCATCAGTATGGAATTTCTGAGGCCCAGACGTTCCTCCCGGCCAACGTCCCCGGCGGCGAGAAACAAGAAGAAACGGCTGTATTCGCAGGTTAGATTTTTTTTATCAGACAATAGGCGTTTACTTGCAAGAGGGTACCTATAGAGCCTTTGGTGTCCTAAAACAATGAAACGGCGGCCATGTTGCAGTCCAAAATCAACCCTGCGGTAGTGGAACTCTTTACTCATGTAAAGACCTTCTTTCGTCGCAATTAATCTGCATAGTTGCTGGCCACGTAAGTGAAAACGCTCTATTAGATCATTTACGGCTGTTACGGTAACGGAATCCCTTTTAGCCGGGTACACTGATAAAACAGAGAGTGAAGCGTACCGCGAGGGAACCTTGCACTCGTGCACCCGTTGCACTAGTGTCTCCTTTTGCGTGCCGCTCACGCATAACGTCTAATGAAAATTATGTGTCGTAATATCCCTTGAGACCGCTTTATACTCTGTGCTTTAGGTCATGCATAACAAGGATAGTTTAAGAATACCTGCACAGTACGGATTGCCAGGATTAAAGTTCAATGGAAACTGATGGGAAACCTGAAAAATTAAAGTAATTTGATTTTTTTTTCTCTTTAAAACAAAACTGCAAAAAATGTTTCCTCTATGATATAGATAGAGATACAGTAACCTGCAACATTGGTGTCTTATTTTGCCTTTTTAAGGCAAGGAAGAGGTGAGCATGGAGCGCAAGACACGAGCATAACGCCTTTTTCGGCTACCCCCTCAGGCTACAATTATATTATCTCTTCCTTAGGCGATCTTACACGGGACGATTCGCAACGACGGTTTTTTTTGCTCAACACAGCGTAGCAATGTTGGAACAATGTTGCAACCATTCGAAACAATGTCGCAACAATGTTGAAATGATGTTTTGCGTTAAAAATTGTTCTTGCAAATCGTCCCTTGTAACATCACCTTTAATTATTTGGCATCTTATCCTCTTGCGCTAAGCTTCCACTTTGCGTCCACCTCACGCTTACCTTTGGTCTCCCAAAAATGCTGAAAATTATGCCTGTTATGCATAAGACTAAGGGTACAGTAATTGTAAAAAGAAATCAAAGGAGATATGAGATAAACAGGGTGTGTAATCTTTTGAGTTCTTCAATTCCATGACTTTTTCCATGGCCTTTTCTAGTTTTCCATGACCTTATGTTTAGCCGTCATTTTGGAAAGGTTTCAGAACTTAACTTGCTTTAGCATATTTTTACCTTAAACAGTTCAACAGAAACAAAGTGTGGTATCCACCAAAATGTTCGCGCTGTTTAATTACTCCTCTTTATCTTACATTGTCCTTGCTTTGTCATCTGCAGTAACTAATCTACCAAACAAAACTTTCATTTTCCATGACTTTCAAGGACCAAAAATTGAATTCCATGACTTTCTAGGCCTTGAAAATGAAATTTTACGACTTTCCAGGTTTTCCATGGACAGTACGAAGCCTGATAAAACATCAGAAAGCTTACATAATGATTTTGAGTCGAGTTTGAAACAGGAGCTCGGTAACAACGTAGCTCTGGACTCGAATTTTCAAAAGCAAGGTTAAACAAAGGTTAAACTAACTTCTGCAGTAGATTTGTTTAAAACGTAACTCGAGGTTCAAATTCGCCATGACCTTTTTTTTTACCCACGACTACCTCGTGACTAAGCTTTCCATTGATAATACTCTTAGCTGTTATGTGTACCAATTCAAAATAGCCTCCTCTAAGCAGCAATAGGAGTTAACCGCAGGTTTTGGCAATTTTACAAGACAATACGTTTAATCTGCTTTTGAACAACTGGGTAGGGTCCAAGGATTTAAGCTGTATAAAGCGGAAGTCCTTTTTCTCATTTACCTGATATGACGGTGGAATTCTGGCTCCAAACCCAAATGAGGGGAACAGTTTGTCACTGCAAAATAAAATCAAGAAGATATATGTTGTAGTTAATTTTTTATCTCAGGTAATTTTTATTTTTCTTTTGTTTCAACCTCATTAGCATACATTAACGTACCCAAAAATAAAAGAAAAACAAAAAATTTCCTGAGATAAAAAAATTAACTACAACATATACGTAAAACGCATGACATCTAATTACGCCTTATTGACAAACGCCCAAATTGATAACCAGTCACGCAAGGAACTCCTTAATATACGCCATGGCTGCGATGGTATAATCATAGACTAATTTCTGTGAATTTGTAAATTTTCCTAATTTTAATATTTTTTAAACGCTATTGCATTTTAAAGTAATTGTAAATATTTTTGATTTTATTTTTATTATTCATGCATGGACTAGTCCTCTTGTTTACTATTATCTTAGTTTTATCACGGTAATGTAAAACTACAATAAATTAATTTAAATAAATTAATAGGCCAATTCCGAGTTCCAAAAACACTCACTTTCGAAATGAAACCAAAAAGAAAATTCAGTGAAAATTAAGTTAAATAATTTATTACCCTGCGAGCAGAGGCCCTTCGATCTTCCTAGATAAGCCGACTTATCTAGGAAGATCGAAGGGCCTCTGCTCGCAGGGTAATAATTTATTTGCATGGTAATGAAAAATCATTTCTATATCAAAGGCTGAGCCCTTAACCTCGTTTTGATACAGAGGTCCAGGCGGAAATGGCCTATAAAAATGATAGAGCCATAAGAAGTATCTTTCAAAACGTTTCAATTAAAGGGCTTAAATGATAGATTTTCCTACCCTGCCATACATATAAATCTACGGTGACTCGTAAGGACAAAATACTTTCCAGAATCCAAAAACACTTCCCAGAATCCAAAACACGTCCCAGATTCCAAAAACACTTTCCACAATCCAAAAACACATCCACAGAATCCAAAAAAACGTCCCAGAATCCAAAATCACTTCGAAAAATCCAAAACACGTCCGGATTCAAAAGCCACCGTATAATATATCTGAAGTCCGAAAAAAGTAAACCTTTCTGATGAAGCCTCACCATATAGGCCTTTATAGGGAGTGTGAGGCAGTGAATAGGCTCTCTGTTAGTGGGGAAAGGGTGAAAAAATCGGGAGGAGACCGAAGGCCTGTTCAAAAATGAGCATTTCGGGGCAAATTGTCTCTGCGATTGTAGCCCAGTTATGCTTAGAAAATTCCATACATACCCTTCTAAATTTTTCAGGGTCGACCCAAAAGAAAATTAGAAGGGTTTGTATGGAGTTTTCTGAGTATAATCAGCTAATATCTCAGAGACAATTTGCCCCAAAATGCTCATTTTTGGCAAGTAGGCCTCTTGGAAGTTGTTCTTTCAGAATATCCTGACAAATCCCATAATTTCAGAAACTTAATTTCTATGACGTCATCAATATAGTAGTCTATTACCTGTCATAATCCTGAATAATTTCCCCCACAGCCATCAGCGCCTGCATGTATTCATTTGGTGCATAAGGATTCATGAAGTGAAGTGAAGTGCTCTTAGTAGGGTCACCATTAGAGGCTGTGAAGTCTATTCCAACCTGTCAGCCATGTAGAAAAATTAACATAGAGGGCCAATAGAACTACAGCCTGTACAGTGATAGCACCCTTATAATTTAAAGTCAGCGTTGTCAGAAAGGTTTGAAGTAGACGGCTGAGTTGTCAAAGTAAGTGGCCAATCCTCGGATATTTTATTTAACAAATGCCATCTGTAAAGAAATGCCAAGCAGAGTAGCGGGCTACTTTTGACAACCCTGTATAGTGCTTCTCAAGGTGGGAGAGTCCAATATTTTCACATCTCCACAGTGAGATGTTACTTCTCTACGACTGTATGGGCAAAACTATGGCTACAACAAGTTGCAAAAGTTAACTTGAGACACAATACCGTATTTTGGCTTAGATGACCTGTCCTTGATCTTGTGCTTGTGATCCCCCCTCCACCCCTTAACATAGTGATTAGCAATACAAGACTATGCTCAAAACTTGGGGGAACAACTTTGAATAGAAGGGAGGAGGAAGGTCAGAATAAAAATTTCATCTCACAGACCTGTGACTAACACAGATTTGAAGCAAGAAAAGTCGTTTTTTCCTTGGAGTCTCTCAAAATGTTTGCAACTGGTTGTAGTGCTCAGCAGTGAGCAGTTACTTGACTGTAAGAGACAAAACTACTTCACTACTGAGTGAAGTTGTTAGTGAGTTATTTTACAGTTGATGTCCTCTGCAATGAGGATAATAGGCCACATCTGACTTCCAAAAACCCCACTTTCAAATTAAGGCCAAGTGCACAGCCGTTCCTGTGAAAACGAGTTTCACTTGCATGGATGAAAAAATGCCTCATTATGATATAGTTTACTTGCACTAAATTTGCATAGACTAACAACAAGCCTCTCTTTAAATCCTCATTCCTCAACCACCACCCACCCACCCACCACAACAACTCCAACCCCCACTTACAGCAAGCCTCTCTTGAGGAAGATATTGGCACTTCTAATGGTTGGATACTAGTGACAGAATCAGAGTCAGAGTTGTAATGAGCGTGAGAGAGTTTTTTAAACCAATCATGTTGTATATTAGAGTCGATAGGAACAGATAAAAATTGTAAATTCATGTGTTAATTATTGTTAGTTAATCACTAGTCTTTATTTTTATACCTTGTAATTATCACACGGCATGTCTGAAAACCAGTTTGCTGAGCCATTTACCGTGTTTAAATAAAGTTGATTGATTGATTCATTAATAAATTATAAACCTACAACTTAATGAGAAATGGTCCAGTTAAGTGTAAGTTCAGAAAGGTCTTAGAATTAAAAAGTAAGAATATTTGTTTCAAAACTCACTGTAAAGTTAAGTTGACAGCCACCTTGAATAAAGTCCAAAAATGAGGATACTTTCACTACCTGTAAAAATAAGAAGGAACTCTAAAATTATGAGGCTATGCAATAACATAGGAACATGTAAAGAAAAAAATCAAACCAGTAATTGCTTAATCAAATCAATTTGGGTTTAGGGATAAAAAATAAAGGTAAAAAGGTGATTTGTGGCTACTACAAACACAGCTCTTTTACATGTTACACGTACAAAAATTATAATTATTTTTGGCTCACCTCTGAAAAAGGAAGCCCTAATGTTGGATCTTATTGTAACTCTAATTCAATTTGATTTGAGCTTTTTTTTATTTATGTTATTCACTGAACCAACAAACATGTAGCCTGTGGGGAGCAGACGCTTTTTTAAGCTCTTGTTTCACCTGCCAAAAAAGCCTGTGAGGGCTCAGAGTTTGAAAGTAATCAATGTACCTCACATTTTGATAGAAAAATTACTCCAGAATTCTTGTATCCACGCTTCTTCTTCTGTTTCTTTTCATTCATACATGGCCATTGAACCTGGAAATTAACAGCAAAAAAGAGTGTGACATGAATCAAAGTGATTCCTTAGTAAAAATACCTAACATAGATTGTAGATGAAACTTGGAGAAATGATGTAACAAGTCAAGAAGATGAGAAAAATTTCATAAAAAGTGGGGGTCACTGTGCTCGTTTTGACATCACAATACTGGCAAATAAGGCTATTTAGGAGTCTTTGGCAAGAACTGCGCGCAGCAAAAAACTATACAAAAAGGAGATTTTTTCGATGATACATGTCGATGTGGTATCGCACAAAATTGAACTTAAATGTATTGTTTATCCACTTATGTACCAGAAAAAATGTCTTTTAATGCCCTTGTTTAATTTTTACTTTACGCTCCAAAATAAACTTCATTTGGACATAAAATTATGCTACTCGACTTGTTATAACTCAATCCATACAATTCAGTGAAATCGCCAAAAAACTGAATGTAGATTTATGTCAATTTTTTTGCATTGAAAGGAAGCACTGTTCTTATTAAACTCATGAAATAAAAAATGGGGTTCACTGTACTCGTTTTTGCAGTAGAGCTGCAGAAAGTGCACATGAAATGCATTTCCTTCGACTTTTTAGACAGGAATGGGAGTGAGTTTCAAAATGACATGTATGTGGAAGAAGGAAGAAAGCTTTAAAACATCTGTTTTTAAAGAATTTATGTCAAGATATCACAGTTACAATGTAAGACGCAATGTGATAAAGACAGCGCTTAGATAAAAATCAAACTGAGTAAGCAGACATCCACCATCGAGGTTCTCTGAGAGGAAGTCAAACTCTTAGAATATGTTATACGCTTCTTAGAATACGTTATGCACATTCCCAACACATTGAGTTTTATCTCAGCAAGAAACAACTGCAAGCGAAATTTCCAATAGTGTTTCTCTTCACTCAGCTTCATTTTAGCAATGTAACCTCAGATGCTTTTGTCATGGCAGCCAACTTGTTATGCGCAGTAAGAGATGTGCAGCGGAAAACCAGCGAATCACCTCAACAAAGAAAACAATTTCCTCCCTGCACCCTATAGTACCCTGCGTACCATATTTTTTTTCTCACACCCAGTGGTATGTTTCAGGGTCAACCATAGGCAGAAGGCCTAAGCTACGGGCTTAAAAGGATGAGAAAACACCAAAACTGGAAAACTTAAATGAAAAGTCACTGGCACCAAGCAGGGTGCCACACCAAATTCTAAACCATCGCAGTGGGTTATTAGCCAACTTCCCAGACCACACTTACCCACAAAATACCTGTAAGGGCCTGTTTACATGGCATTGGGGGCCCCAGGTAGGTGGGGCAACCCACCTATACATAGATCTCTAATTTTAATTTGATAATGTTTACATGATAGGTTAGCCACATGTTACCTCACCTATTTGGGGTCCCCAACCTCCATGTAAACAGGCCCTAAATGTACAATTGCCAGGTGACCTCTCCCCTAAAAGAAAGTGTAGCATATTTTTGCATGAATTCATCTACCCTTGTCATCACTATAAGTTTAATCAATGTTGACTGTATTTACCTCCTTGGGGGGTTGAACAGAGCACATCTCTCTGAGATTTGTGGTGAATGATCCAATAAAGTCATGTGATCCATCTGAATCCCAGTCAAAACATGAAATCTGAAAATTATTTTATCATTATTGGACCTCAGTCAAGTTTTATATTATTTCTTTGACTTACATGTAGTAATGTAAGTAGTAAGACTTAAGAAAAGGACAATTTAAATTACTCTTACAGTAACTATCGTTTTATCATACCGTTACAATTTCTTATAGTGCTCTTTATGAAAATATTAACATGGTACAATATGATCAATAATGGTTGTACATCATAGTGAGGTGTTTTAAATATTATGCAAGTGTTAAAATAAAAGGATTTACCAGGGGTTTCAAAATGTTTTGAAGTAGGCAGCCGACTCTGGAAAAGTAGGTGCCTGTGACAATTGAGGGGCCAAAAGGCCCTGAAGCTTAGGGGGGTCTAGAGTAACCGGCGAACTACAGTCAAGTAGCTTGTTTTGAAACCACTGATGCACATCATAAAGGACTAACGTATTAAAATAATGCTTACTCTAATGGTCCTGTCATAATCTCCATTACAAATCTGCTGTACTGGGATTTGAAATGCTTTCCACCTTGGATTCAAATTGTTCTTAACAACCTGCAAATTGGATTAATGTTACAATGAACACATGAAAAAAGACCTAAAATATTTTGTTACAAAGTCATGTTGGAAACTCAAAATACATGTACATGTGTTGCTTGAGCCTGAAGACACCACTAGAAGTTAAGAAGTTACATTGTAACCTTAAACTACATAATAATTATACATTGTATAATAATTATGTTTGGTTAGTAGAGATATATTCATTATAGTTTCAAAAATTTAATAAGCAGTTAATGTCTTAGGATATCTCTTTTTGTTATGATTTTCAGTAACTAATCACATTAAACAGACCTCTGTTCTATGGACAACAACAAATGTTCCATCTTCTTTTGACCTTGCAAGTTCCAAATAGGGGTCACTCTTTCCAAGAAAATCCTACATGGATTAAAAAGTATTATCTTATATTTTTAACAGAAATGCACATAGAAGAACATTTGATCTCATATCCACAACTAGGTATCCTGGGCCTATACTAAATTCTGCTAAAAAAGAAAACAAGCAAAAAAATAGTAGCATCATAACTGTCTTTAAGTTAATTTCCTCACATTTAAAAAATTAATTAAACATACAGTACAAAGTACATACAAAGGCTTTTTGTACTTTTTTGGTCACAGCTTGTGCTCGTTATCACTGCTTGTTCTAAGAAAAATTGTAAATACAGTACATGTACATGTACATGTAGTACTGACTGGCACACAGGAAGTAGTATTCAACGTGCTGTGTTGATTAAGACCTGTCAGCGATATGTTGCCACGTTAGTTTTACCATGTACAATGTACATGATATACAAAGCAGTTATCTTATGGTAACCCATAAATTGGTGAGACTTTACAAAGTACGAGTCAGTTCAAGAGAACTACATGCCACTTAGACATGCACATGACTGATCATTGTGAGATCCCTTTGAATATGAAACACTCACCTCAGAATGGATCTTGTGCTACATTATCATTATTTTTATCACAGAAACTGGTAATAAATCACAAACCTTCTTGTCTAGTTTTTCAGCCCTGAATTGGAAAAGCACTTCATCATTTCCACCAGTAACCTCTTCTGCAACCACCTACAGGTGTATGACATACAAAATTTAATTGATTATTTTACAAGTAAACCAGGGATGCATTAATATTACCACTTGAATTAAAATTAAACAACTGTGGCTAAATGTAATTTAGGTAAGCTACAGTAAAATTCTGAAAATAAGCCCTTTGATCTCCAAATATAAGACCCCAAAATTATAACAAAAAATCCCCTCAGATAATTGCCCTTCAAATAAAAGCCCTTGGAAATTACCCTCAAAGCAAAGCAAAAACTGTACATGTACAGTAACACATAAATTTTTGCATTTGCCAAAAAACTATTACGTCTGCCAAATTATTGTGTCACAGTTTATTGCTGTTTGCGTAGTTCACTGTTTAGTCTTGGCTTGGATTTCCTCAGTCCATATACAACAAAGTACTTGCATGGCTGAGGTTTGGAAAGATCTGCATCCTCAAGGCAAGTTTCACTAAAAACTTGCTGCAAATTACTGACGTAAATTTCCTTCCAACTATAAGCTATTCCAATGGATTTTGAGACACTTAAGGCACCAATCAACTCTGAAAACATCTTTTGTTGATGATCGAGTTAAATAAACTTTTTGATTTAAAATATTAAAATAAATGACTTTGTTCAGAATACACTGCACAAATAATAATAATATTATAACATTGATAATGATATAATTTAACAAACATAGCAATAATATCGTAATGTGATCAATAATAAAACAAGCAGTAGTTTTGTACTAGGGAGTTTTAGCAACAAAGAGAATGTCAAAACAACAAAAGGTTTATAAAGCAAAACAACAAGTCTGCAGGTGCATCACACTTTTTTTGTGCATTTCTTTGCCATTACTTCACAACTATGAGTACGTACAGCTGTAAAAAAAACCTAATTTAACATTTCAGCGAAGACATAAACAAGCAACAACAAAACTGTCTATCTCAAGATTTCTAAACTTGAGTGCAGTCCCTAAGAAATCAACACCAGGGAAATTTGCCTTCATGAACATTAAACATTTTCAGCGAATTGAAATGAAATAAACACGACAAAGTTTGAAAAAATGCTAATTCATTTTAAAAGCGACTTTTTCGCTGCCGTCGCTATCATCGATGCTAAAACTCCCTACTACAATCATAACAGAGGGGCCATTTTCATCTTTTTCATTAACCTCCTATAAATTCAAAAATTTATTTCACCAACACTAGTACAGGATGAACAATCAACATTATCCAGTCAAATAGTCTTTAAAGGCAATTGATATTATAAACATCCACTTATTTTAAAAACCTACTGTTATGGTTCCAGCTTGCCCAGATGTTCCCTTAAATAACAGTGGTTTTGTATAAGTTCCAGATGACACAAGCTGAAGAAAAATAAAATAATGGTTTAAGCAGAAGAAATAATCAGTGTGATCTCTAATAAATGCATTAATTTATTCTGCCAGTGTATAGGAATTCTAGCTTATAGCTGATTGCTTTGGGGATTGGGAATTGGCAACTGGATATTAGGCATTTGGCCAAACCAAATAATGCAATGATTTGCAGGAGCTAGTGACCACCGAAAAATATAGCCTCCTAATGCCTAAAGCAACCTTATTGAATGAGCTGCATGCAAAATATGGCCTATTATAGACTTGCCAGCCCCAAAAAATCCTGAGATTCTATGCCTATACAGATGTAGCTGGAAAAGTACTGAATTAGTGGGAACTCAGGGAAATGAGATTTCCCAAACTCCCAAGTGGAAGGGCTTCCCGAGGGAATCATGGGTATTCTAAGTCATGCACACATGCACACAACTTTTGTTGGCATGCAGCCATCTGGAAATGTGAGATTAAGATTATTTTTTAAATAACAGCAAGACTACACATTTTGGTGGCAGTGGCAAGCAATGGTGGGTTGAAGAAAGTAATAACTAAATGTGACTGGCCTTTGAATTAAAAGTACTATTTACATATAACTCAAAAACAAAACCTACAGATGCTCCAAATTTAAAGATTCTTGAAGTGTGACTTTTTGGGAAAGTGTGGAACATCAGTTGTGGACCCCTGAGAGTGTGAGAAAGGTCATGAAATTGTTAGACTCACTACAAACTCATGAGACTTGGCAAGTCTTTTAATTTTTCAGCTACACCACTCTGCCAAATAATGCAATCATCTGAGTGGCGGCAAGGTTTTAATCATGTGGTCTAGCTCAGAACTTCCTGCTCAAGCACAGTGGCGCTTGGCTGCAAACTGTGCTAGCCAGCTGGTGGTGCCAACGGGAATGAACATAATAAGTTACACATCACTTTGTAAGTGAACATTGTAGCTTTTTTGGCCACTTACCTGACCCAATGTGCATTCTAACTCCCCTAAGAAATCTGCAGATTTCAAGTTTCCAGTGGGGCTATCAATGTCATAGATAAAAAACTTCAGCTTCTGAAGCTCTTCAAAAAAGTAATCCACTAGAACAGCTTTAGAAAATTGAGGATTTAAAGTATTATCCAACTTTTCAGTCCTACCAACCTGAAAAAAGGAAGGAAAATCCCGTTAACAAAAAGAAAAAATTATTTTCCACTTCTTCAAAATATTAATTTCCTATTTAAGGTTCTGTTCCATGGTGAGTTTGTTCACATGTTTTCAAAATAGAAAAGATATTACAAGGCAGAATTGGCTGATAAACAGCAGCAAAGTGGTACAAATATTTCTCCTGACTGAAGGCCAAGATGACAAAGAAAAGTCAGTAGAACTTTAATTTCCAGATATTAATTGTAAATTGAAGGAGGGTTAAGATACAGTAACCCAGGATTAGCATGTTATATGATTCAGATCTGAATGTTCACAAAGTAGTATACATGTAAGTTCTTGTACAGTGTAAATTCCTTTAGCCTAAAATTTGATGCTTGGGTGTTTTAAAAGGACTGCTAAAATCACCAGGGGAAATGCTTTTGAACAAAAGAAACAGAGCTCAGAGTTGACTTGAACCTTGTGTAAGTCATAACTAGTCTTTGAACAACTGGCCATGACCACGGACTGACAAAGAGGACAGACAAGTCGTTTTGTTTTTGCTATCAGCAAAAAGAAAGGAGAGATGTCTGATTTTCTAATTGACATTTACACAAGAGACGCATTAGGACAAGACAATCAAAGGAAAATAATAACCATTTTAAGGGATAAAAGCCTTTCACTGTAGCTGCAAAGGGTCTATAGCAAAGTCAATGTGATGACACTGACACATGATCTAAAAATCTTCCTTCTGTACCAAACCAAGAGTGAAATGGTAGATTGATCACCTGAAAATGAAGTTTTTTTAGTCCTTTCCTTGTGATTTCCCAATCTCAATGGGCCATTAATTTTTTACAGTTGTGTGCTTGGTGCCCTGGGCCAGGTTGCATAAAACCTTCTTAAGATAAGAGGGCTCTTAACTTTTGTTCTGGAACAATAACCTATTGTTTTGAAATAATAGTTACAAGTTCTCTTAATCTTAAGATGTTTTTTGCAACCCAACCCTGGCCTTTGAATAGATTTAATTTTGTGAGGCTGGCGGTGACCTTGTTTTGTTACAAACCTTCTTGTTTTTCATATGAATGACCATGTTCACGGGCTTGTTGGCATGAGAGTACCACGATTTGCACATTAAAACCGGAAAGGTTTGTAACAAAACAAGGCCACTGCCACCCCCGCTTCTATTCAAAGGCCAGGGCGCTGAGCACCTAACTGTAAAATGGCCTATTTGGCACTGTGTTGTCCATGATAAAAACTGCCTAATTTGCGAGTTTTATGTTCCCCATAATGCAGTTTGCTTTCCCCTCCAAAGTATTGAACTAATAATTGTCCCTAGAGACTTATGCAAAATTCTGTGGGAAAAACAAATTGAATTATGGTAAATGTGAAAGCCATAGATACATGTAGCCAGAAAATCCCCACCACCTCCCTCTGACCCGAAATTAAGGATGGAAAAATGGTGTGATCTATCCTTTGTACTGCTTCATCTTTGACTTTAGGGAATATATGGGAGTTTTGCTTTTCCATTTAACTCTGTCCATGACTGTGTTCTCTGGACTACGGAAAAACAACTCCAGTAAGGCCGGGCGGGCGGGGCTTATGCAAGTCCAGCCCTTCGACCCCTCTGCCAAGACCACACTACATAAACTGAACATGCTACTACAAAACCTCTATTAGTGGGCCATTTACCTCCGACCAGTTGCCATCCTTGAATATCACAACGACCGCCATTGGGTCAGATTTGGACAAAACATCTTTGTCTTTCAAGTTCTTGCAAGAAATGTTCAACTGGACGCGGGTCACGCACTGAACCGATGGAGCTGATGGGAGCGGGTGTGATGCCTGCATAACTTTTCTTACGCTTCTTTGTGACTCCAAGTGGTTTATGCGGCGTTAGTTAGTGCTGCTAACGAACGTTTTCCACATAAATAAAGACATTTTTCCTTCTTTGTCTGAGAAACATACAGAAAGTGACGCCTGATTTTAGACTGCGAAGGCCTGGACCTGAAATCATAAAGATAGTTTGTTCACCCTTACATGAACGCAAATTTGAAAATCCAACATGGCGCAGTTTGTGGGAACAGTCATTGGAACAAAAATGGACAAAACAGCCAAGGTTTTAGTCACAAGGATGGTCCTATACCGAAAATTAAGAAAGGTCAGAATTCTATCTAAGTCTTAAGAACAAAAAGCTTTATTTAAAATTACCAACGACAGCAGAAAATAGCACTTCAGAAAGTGTTTTCCCCTAGGCAGCTGTGTCCTTATGTTCCTTGTTGCCTGTTTAAATCATTTACACACGATTCATTCTTCTCCCCAACAAGGTTAGGTTCTTCTATCCCTTGATATCACGATTTGAAAGCTTTTATCAGTCTAGCGTGGGTGTCAGACTGTGAGAACTGTTTTACTAATTTTTACCCGTAAGCTTAAAGTTCCTCAAACAAGACAGTTTTACCTTAAGCTTGAGCTTATTATATTGCTTTCTTCTGAATTTCAGTACTTCAATGAAAGAAAAGTTTATTTTGCCCACGATGAAAATAATGACTGCACCAGGGGGGATCTTGTTGTCATCAGAGAATGTCGCAAGCTTAGCAAGAAAAAAGCATTTACAGTGGCAGAGATAGTAGACAAAGCTCCAAAGGTTGTTGACCCTGAAACAGGACAGATTCACATACAGGATAACAGAGAATAACATTGAAGGAAACATTAAATCAGCTTTTTTTTATTATAATGAACTAGAGAGTGAAGAAGATTTGTACAAAGGAAACAGTTCACTCCCATACTTACAGTTGCACAATCACATGTACATTGTAACATGGAAGTAGAATGACCAGCCTGTCAGCGAAGACAAGCAATACTTGTAGTTAGTTTTGTGGACTTATTGTACTACAGAAGGCCCTCTTCAGTCACATGACATCTACAACTTGCAACAAACTGGTGGAGAAATGACGATGATGATTATGATGATGATGATGATGAACTTTATTTAAGTGTCTACAATGTACATGTACATGTAGTCTTCTAGCTGGCCTGTTAATGCCTACTAATAGGGAACTGACTAATTAAAATACCACCTACCTAACTAATAATGGACATGTATTTTGGAGAAAAAATCAGTCTTCCCCCTACCTCCATTCAAAGTTAGGGTTTTAGTTTTTTTGCTAAAGTACAGGGCGCAGTTCCTGGAAAGATGGTTGAGTGTAACCCAGGATTAAGCCGATTTTAAGCACGGTTTTCTCATCCAAGAACATATTCCTCGAGCTTACAAAAATTAATACTGTTGTGCCTTTACTTCGAAAAAAAGAAATGATAACACAAAATGTTGCTTAAGGCAATTCATAGGAAAGTAAATACAAAAAGTGGAACAAAATTTTAATCCTGGATTAGCGCTTATCGGCCTTTCATGAACCAGGCCCAGTATTGTAGCTTGAATAGTGGAGTAACAATGGTTTTTACTGGTCAGATCAGGTGTGGGATTTAAACCTGCATTTTCCTATTTTGAAGTAGATAATATTATTATTGTCAGCAAAAAGCTAGAAAAAAATCCCTTGAGGGAAAATTATTTTAATTTTGCCTCTGATTGTAGCTGCTGTATTAATTAAAGCAACCATTAGCCCTGCATTGTTCATGATAATTATACAAACATCTCCATCAAGTGAACACTTTCTATAAAAAGACCCTTTCTTGACTTTTCCAGATCCCAGAGTGTTACATGAGGTTCCACTTTATCTGGCATTTTCCTGATTGTTATATTCCACAATCTGATATAATTATAATTATTTTTATTTTTACTCCACCTTGGCAAGTCCATAGCTCCTCAACACTTAAACAAGCGAGTCATGTGAGACCTTGCAAAAAAGAAATACAAATTTTTTTAGAAAGAAAATGGAAAAACAGTATCACAAAAAAGAAATAACTGAAAGCTGAGTGCTTATTAAAACTTTCTCAGTATAATGAGTGCTGAACTCTAATTAGTGAAATTCGACCAAGACTGCATAATTCTGCACACATTCCAGCAGCAAAACCCAACATACACATGTCTCCATAGGGAACTAACCAGAAAACATTGTATTTGAAGTATTAATTGGAATATCATAAAACTTTACTTTTCTCCAAAGCTTTCTGGCTTGCAGATTAAGTCCGGCCCCATATTTTTTGGAGACTTGTACATTTAAAATAAAAAATTAATGGTATCAAAGTGTTTCCTGCAAAATTGATAATGCTTGGAGAATTTCCTGTCTTTGTTCTCGTTTTTATTCTGTTACATGGATCTGCCTTCATAGTGTATCAGGACGTTTTTTTCTCTTCATTTAAATATTTGTAGAAATAATTGTGATAACTATACCTACCTAGAACAGGGACAACAGATCTTGCATGAAAGGCTGCTTTGTGTTTTTAATGATTTGTTTTCATATATTTTTCCCACCATATTATTATTATTTTGCAAGCCTGGCACAGGCAGTGTATGTATAGTATTTGATAACATTGTGAAAAAAAAAATTCTATTTTACAGCCGATACCATATTCGGTACATCCGTAAATCTCAAAGGAATGCATGGCCTAGCCTATTTATTTTAAGCAACAATTACCACTGAGGGAAATGGTATTAAAGACATAAGCAACGGTATTTTTACAGTCTGAACAATCACTTTATATTCCTTATTGCCCAAAACTGCAATATTATTGGCTTAGCTAGTACATTTTGAACAAGGAGAAAAGGATAACATGCAGTCAGCCCAGAGTCTATGGGAGTTCATTGGAATTTTGATGATTACAATTTATAAGAGAAAATGTATGAAAATAAACAAAAATTTTTTTTAAAATTCTATTTTTTTTCTTGAAAAATAGAAATAAAAAAGAACTCAACTTGTGTTTGTGTTGAAAAATCCAGGCTTGGCCGCTTCGGTTGTTCATTCTGCTGTCGAGGTCACGTTCACATTCATATCTTTATCCGCGGTTGAAAAATATATGATTCATTTCATGTCATTTCATGTCTTTTCCACCGTAAGATATTCACTACCATTCACTACTGACCTGCTGTGCGTTGCGTTTGGTTCGATTCCCAGGCAAGCCTGAAGTCTTCAGGTTCTTTTTCAACCGGTCATGTTATTCATTCTAGTGCGAAGATTATGTTTACTTTCAAAATTTGATTCATTTCATGTGATAAAATATTCAATTTCAAACAAGTCAAACACTGAACGAATGTTACTCCCGTAGGTCTCCACCCTAGAAAGAAATTACAAAAAACGCGGGTGCGCCACTTTTCCCGCCAATTTTTTAAAACTCTTAGCCAAAGCAGTCAGCAGTAATCTTGCTGTCATTTTATTTGGATCGACGAAAATAAGCTTAATTCAATTTCCACAAAATTCAACAGTTTGTGTTTTTAAATTCTGATCTCTATTTTTGCTGTATGTTATAACTGACAAGACTATATAGCTGGGTTATGTCCTGCGTTTCTTTTCGCCATTTTACACGTTGATCATTGTGAGGAGAAAAGAATGGGAATCGTTGCTTGAAGTGGAAAAACATTGTTTGTACATCCTACTGCTGGAATCAAGTGAAAAGGATGGCAGACTGGGTCCACTGTAACAACTGTTTTGTTCGACCTGGAGGAGGAAAGAGATTTTCTTTGACGAACTGTGGCCATATATATTGTGAAGACTGTGTTCGAGGTGAGTAATTTATTAAGAATAATGGAAATAAGCGAAGGGATCTGTATAAACACTTTTCTACTGTGCGATACGCTGAAATTAAAAATTCGTTTGAGCTATGTTTGTCGGCATTTGTCCCTTGGTCCATGTAAATTGTTAGGGCTTTAAATTTTGCATTTAGACGCCGGGTGCTTTTTACAGAGCGCAATGTAATTTTTAAGCTTTTATATTATTAATTATAAGCTTATCAACAAAACCCGTTTATTAGTTCAATAGGATGATAGTCGCTCACCGTTCAAGCAAGCCCTAAGAACATCAGATTATGGATCCATAGAGACAGTTTGCTTAGAGTTTTTAATTACAATTCAGTAAGCTCTTTATTTTACAATCCCTTTTAATCGCCTTCAGCAAGTTCCTCTGAAAGTTCCTCCCTTTTTCACTGGAATAGTATCGGTCCTCGTAGAGCAAACTTTTGCTCAATGCATGCGTTTTATATTAGGGAGGTGTAACTTCCAGGTGTGTTGCTTTTGATCTGTAGCAAATCCAGACCATTGCTTCTTGTGTAAGAGAACCTGTAACTCAATCCTTTTGTCATCTCAGGTAAGGCAAATTTTTGGCTAGTTTAGGCCTCAAGGGTAATTGTAGTGCAGCTGGGAAAAAGATGATCGCATCCAGCAGTCATTTTGCCAATGCTTACAAGAACGAGATCGGCTCTATGACCTCTATAAAACCTGGTAATCAAAATTCAAGCAAGTTCTAAGACTGCTTCTAATCCGCTATTTTTTCTTTCTCTTTTTTTTTCTGCTGGAAAAAAGAATACCCTGCTAGGTGTGGGTACTTTCCAATCCGCTCATTCTTTCTGGCTTGTGTGAGTGAGATACAAGAAATAATTCTCAGCCTTCCCAGAAAACGCTTAAAATGGCTTCATAAAGTCTCTAAATTTATGGTTTATTGTGGTTATTAGTTCATTTTGTCAAATTAATCTTGTTAGGGTGCCCCTGCGGAACATGCAATAATAACTACGGTAAACAAAATAACGTCGAATTTAAATTTAATACACTTAGATGAAACCCGAAGTTGAGATGTATTTTACCGACCCTGCTGTTTTATCCAAGAAATATCATTCTCAATTGTCACAGGTGAGTGGCAAACTTTTCGTTTGTTTTAAATCCACCTGAGTTGCTTCCTAAAGTGTTA